GTGTACATAACACCGCAGGCTAACGGTAGCGCACTACGGCTCCTAGCAGAACTGATAACTAGCCTGGAGCTAGAACATCCCGATTCTCCACTCATTGTTCTAGGGGACTTTAACAGGGCAAATCTCACCCACGAACTGCCCAAATACAGGCAGGACGTTACCTGTCCCACCAGGGACAAAATCACACTGGACCACTGGACTCTCTGATCACTGTATGGTCCGTCTTATTCCAACCTACAGGCAGAAACTTAAAGCTGCAAAGCCTGTAGTCAAAACAGTGAAGAGCTGGACTGAGGAGGCGAAGTCAGAGCTACAGGTCTGCTTTGACTGCACAGACTGGAGTGTATTTGAGACTGCAGCTACAGACCTGGATGATCTCACTGTCACTGTGACATCTTATATCAGCTTCTGTGAGGATGTGTGTGTGCCCAAAAAGACCTTCAGCACATACAACAACAAGCCCTTGTTCACAGCCAGACTCAAGCAGCTTCATCGTGCCAAAGAGGAGGCTTACAGAAGTGGGGACAGGACAGCCAGGCCAAGGGAAAGTTCAGGTTTCAGCCAACAACCCCTCGTCTGTGTGGGGGAGCCTGAAAACCATCACTGGCTATAGAAAACCATCCCCCCTGCTGTGGAGGACTGCCAACTAGCAGATGACCTGAATGTGTTCTACTGCAGGTTTGACAATCAACACTCCCCCCTCACCTTCCCCGCCTCAGATCCAGCAGCTGCTCCCTCGACCCTTACCACCATTCCCTCCAGCCCCCCACCTCTAACGATCTGTAAAAAGGATGTGCATGGCCTCTTTAAAAGACAAAAGATCATAAAAGCACCAGGCCCAGATGGTGTGACCCCCTCCTGCTTGAAAGTGTGTGCTTAGCAGCTGGCCCCCATCTTCACACTTATCCTCATCAGGTCACTGGAGCTGTGTGAAGTCCCCTCCTGCTTCAAATGCTCCACCATCATTCCAGTCCCCAAGAAAACCTCTATCAGTGGACTGAATGACTACAGACCTGTCACCCTGACATCTGTAGTTATGAAATCCTTTGAAAGACTGGTGCTGGGCATTCAACACCATCATCCCGGACATCCTCCACTCCAAACTGACCCAGCTCACTGTGCCTGCCCCCACTTGTCAGTGGATTACTAGCTTTCTGACAGACAGGGAGCAGCAGGTGAGGCTGGGGAAAACCACATCTGGCACCTGGACAATAAGCACAGGTTCTCCCCAGGGATGTGTGCTCTCCCCTCTGCTGTTTTCACTCTACACTGTAATACCCCAGTTTTTTAATTGGACAGCTCTGAATAATGAAGGAGTCCGTCTTTCTTCATTTAGTGCTGATTTATTTTAAACCACAAGTAAAAATTACAAACATGACCTGGGTTGCTCCCTCCTCCAGAAACACACACACTGCTGCTGGAAAAAGGAGTCCCTGGTCACACCAAGCCTAATACATTTATAAGTTTCGGCTAACCACTTACACAGAAAGATTACAAAACCCCAGATGAACTCAGTCCACAGACTCCATCTCTTATCTAGAGCTCCAGCTGCATTTCTACCTGGTCATAACAAAATGAAGAATCTCAATGTGTGTGTATGTTGTCACGTTGTGCGTAGGCATTCATTCATTTATTCAGACATAATATTCTAACATTAGATTTAATACAAGAAAACAATTGGTGCCATGGTTCACTTTTCAGAATCAACATTCTGTCTGCTAACCTTGAAACAAAACAGACTAGAGCAGACATTGAATCTTAATAAATTGCATTACTAACACATTAGGGTCTAACAATTACTAATATCTAATAACACCAACGACTGCATCTCGAAGGACCCGTCTGTCAAGCTTCTAAAGATTGCTGATGATACAACGGTCACTGGTCTCATCCGAGACGGTGACGAGTCAGCCTATAGACGGAAGGTTGAGCAGCTGGTCCTGTGGTGTAGCCGCAACAACCTGGAGCTGAACACGCTCAAATCAATGGAGATGTTTGTTGTCTGCATTGTTTACTGTCTCTTTATACTGCTTATTCTGCATTATTTGCACTGTTTGTTGCTGTCAGTGTTTCTGTTAATACTGCTTATTGTGTGGATGCTTTAAAGCATCCCATATTCTGGGATCTTCCACCCTTTCTTTGGCACTTTATATGCCAATGGGAGCTCAAAGTGCTGAGTCAATGACACAGTCTTGGAGTGCCATCTGGTGGTTCATAAAATGCAGCGCAATTGGGACATGCCCCTACATAACTCCTCTCTCTGTCTCTCTCCCCCTTCCCTTCTCCCTCCCTCACATTCACAACTACTTGTGAAAATTCTAGACTCAGCATACTTTCAGGTATCAAAATGTTCAGCTCGTCAAGGACATTCATGCTTCTATGCAAAACTTTTCTAAACTTCGCTAGAAAAGCTCTTCAAGTTCAGCTCTTCAAGGCCATTCCTACTTTATTGCATCTCATTCTTCAGATTATTCAACAAAGAACTTCAGCCATTTCGTCTCATCTTTCAGCTGTTTCAGCAATTGATTTCAGGGATTTTCGGGACAATCTTTCCGCTTATTAGCATCCACACACATTTACGACAGGAAATGCATTTCTCTAGTTTTGTTATATTACACAGCCTTATGCTGGTTTACTGTTTGCACATTGAGAGCCGATGTACCAGAGTCAAATTCCTCGTGTGTCCGTCACACCTGGCCAATAAAGCTGATTCTGAACAGGCATAAACCAGCTTTGGCAGTTCAGGATTCAGCAGCTGAATGAAGCACTGTCTGGTTGCATTACACATACATGTAGCTGTGTAAGAAAAACAAATATCACTGCAAGTGCATCAACAATTGCACCTCACTGCAGCGAGTCTGTAACATTACATCTGGTGGTGTTCAAAATGTAAACACATACAAAACAGTGCCGTTACATCACTTTAACTTGCAACTAGAATATAATGGCTGTACTCGCCTGTTTCGATGACATTCTGCTGAGCCTTGTTGATGCAGAGTTCTCCATGATATCACTTGGTCAAATTTATTAACTTTATAATTTTCATAGTGGAAAAGTCCAGGCTGCAGCTCTATGGTAATAGAGGAGAAACCACTGAGTTGCTAGCCAGGGTGGCCGCTTTTGCTTTTAGCAAATGTTAGCTCATCTTTGCCCACTTTTGCTGAAAATGGTGCAGAACAAACAAAAAAATTAATTTTCTTCAGTTTTGAAATTTTGTATTCCAAAACTCACTCACTCTTGCCTTTGTATGTCTGTGATATGTTGAATGAATGCACTAAGCATTTTTCTCAAAGCTAAAATTCTACATTTGTGAATGCTGAGAGGGTGTGGATGTTGTGTGGTTGGTGCAAATGCAGCTATACGGTATTTTGGAGGTAAAATTAGAATAGCCTCAATGGTAGAACTTAATTAATCCCTCAACTGACTTAGCATTGCTGTACATAGTTAATTTTCATTTCTCAGATGGTGCAGGCTCAGGTGCAGCCACACTGTTTGCCCCTGACGTGCCGCCAGTGTTGCATATATTTGATAAACAAGGTGTTTTACAGAATCGAAGGAACAAAACAAAATACTATCAGAAGACTTTATTGATCCTTGGTAGGACATTCAGAAGCTACCCAGCAGTATGTAAAGTATTTCATATTATAAGCAATATCAAATAAACTCAGGATAATATGAGATGGAACAGTGATACCTGCAGGGAAGCCAGAGCAAAGTGTGGTATTACAGCAGGTGAACTGTACATAATATGCTATAATCATTTAACTTGAGTAAGAATCTATAGAAACTCTAGAAATAATTTTTAAACATTAAAGAAAGGCTAAGAACATGCCTAAAACTGGCACAATATTGTTATGAGGAACCTGTTAGTAACAAGATCACTAATGTTTGACAGTGTCTGCTGCTAGATCACAGACAGAGGACGGAGCATGTGCTTTGACAGCATAGTTTTTTTCACACAAAATCCTTCCAGCAGGGTCAGGCAGCCGTGTTGATCTGTGCTTTAAAACATAACCACCATAAAATGATCTGAAAATATTTTATTTCATGGATTCACTGCTTGTTCTTGCTAATGCCACTGCCTCTCTTCATTCACTCACCATGTGCAAACCACTGCAGCTCTGATAAGGTACTGGATCGATGTGACCATACGCCTAAATGTCAAACTGTTATTTTCATGTTTTTTTTAATATTATATTTATTTTGTAGTCTTAGTTTTCCTTTATTTCAGTATTTTTAATTAGTTGAGGTATATGCCGTCCCAGCCATGGTGCTGTGGTGAATGCACACGTTTGCTCTGGGAAGCTGTGTGCAAGCTGAGCGCCACCTACGACATGATACTGTAATACACGCCATGCTACTGCATAAATAATGAGTAAACAGGCCCATTATCAGGGTAGCATGTGACATTTTGACATGGCAGCACTTTACGTGCACGTTGTTTGCTGTTCGTCTGTTGCATAGACGCCCCAGTTCAATTCTGCCTTTTTTTCCCCATAAACGTTATTACAGTTACGATTTTTAGCATTTGTGTATTGATTTAGCATTGTAGAAGATGGGAATCATGATTTTCTTATTCTCCCACCCCTAGTTCACATACTTTTTCCAAGCTACACTGTGAATGTTTGAATGATGTGTTTAGTATGCACAAAAATAATACAATGATTTATGGGTAATTAGTTGAAATAAACTTAGAAGAAGATAGTGAAAACATCTTTAAAATAATTTAGGACACATTTATACACAGCTGTATTTATTCCACATATTCATGCTTCTTCATTTTGTATTTTCTAATTGTTTTTCATTGGTGTCCATCATATAGTCATAACTGTATAATAATTTATGTTGCATTTTGAGGACCACAGTAGAAATGATTCTTATGGCTTTGTTGCATTTATATTCTGGGTGATTGTTGCTTATTTTATATGCATCATCAAATAAAATTAACCAACCAAGCAATCATCCATCATCAAATATGTATTCCTTCTTTGTACATCTAGATTGAAGCCAATTTGCAATCACGACTGGCGAGGTCATCATTTGACAAAAATTGGTATGTTGACATCTGCCTGAAGAGTCTTTAGTTTTTTTTTTTTGCATACGCTTGCTTAGATTTATTTTGCTTGTTGTACTGTTTTAATTTGGTGTAATAATGAATCAAATTAATGCTGTCATTAGGGGTTGCACAAATTAGTCGGTCAACTTCACCACACGCAGTTGATCTTTTCAACATGTTGTCAACTAGTCACTGACTGATCATCACTTTGAACCGCCTTACCTGACACAGATGGCTGTCAGTGCACATCGAGTAGTCACGCACTTTAACTACTTAGCAATGGCAACCTGTACCCAGAAAAAATGGCTGAAAAGCACAATAAATACCAAACCGACTGCCCAATCGGGTGGAATTCCACCATTGTCTGGCTGGAGAAGCTGTTAGCTAAGCAGTCTGTCCCTGCTTATGAAACAGTCACCAAACAAAGTGTCTAAAAGTCATAAGCCATGGGAGCATCACAGTGGGAACTGGTGGGACAGTACCCCATCGCCATCTGCGTCAGTCCTAGATGTATCTCCCTGAAACAGTGGGGACACGGCTACATGTTACACTTTAATGGAGATGGGCAAACAAACCATGCGCACATATGCAAGACCAGTCACTTAGTTGCCACCCTTAGTCTTTTCTCTTGTAAATGCAGACCATGCTGAAAATACTCATATTGAAGCACAAATCTCAGCTCCATGTGGCATCTCTTGGTGTATTTTGACATCTTTTCCTTCTCATTCTGGTGGTTGGGGAGATACCTTTAGTACACAGTGTTGATGTTGACTTGACTTTCATAACAGAAATATCAATTATAAAAGAAGTTGTGCAACCCCTAGCTGGTAATTATCTAGTGTGCAGCTGGATCCAGCAGTGATTGTTGCTGTAAAGTTTTCAGAATGTGGCTGAGAAGCCTCACATGGAGTGTGCAGTGGAAATGGTCATGCCTCTGGTGTCCAATCCAGGCCACATCTGCATAACAGATGAAAACCTTTACTTTCAGCCCCTGAACGGATATCCGGTGAGCTAACAAATTTCAGTGGACATGGCACTTGCTTAATTGCTGTCGGTAAAATGCCAAATGACTGTCATCTCATTACAAATGATTACTTTCACTGTCAGGAACATGTGATTCAAATCAGACTCCACAGAGTCAGGAGGATCTACAAACGAAGACATGGACTCAGACCACTGGTAAGTGACCAGGGCACATAATAATACCTAAAATGTTTGTGCTACTGTCTGTTCGTATGTTTGTCTCCCTCCCCCCAGGGTCTGGAGGTGTTCTGTACTGAGAGTGACTTCTGCTCTGACATCTACTTGAAGTTTTACGACACAGCAGACAGAGATGAAATCTACTACTGCATTGCTGCTTTCATGGGTGAGAAAACTCAACGGCAGCAGTGATCTGTTACTGAATGTCTTCAGTTCCTAAAAAAAAGTGCTGAACTTACTCTGATTTGTCTTAAAAATGTAGTAGTTTCTCAGTTTGTTGATAGTTTGATTTACTCTAACTTCCAACACAAATCATTAAATTGTTCTTCCCCTTGATAAATACGTCATTCAGACATTCACTGTGCACCCTGTTAACCTGTAGGGTAATGATGTCAAAAAAAGCTAACTGGAGTCCAGTTAATGAAGGCAGAGAGGACGTGCGGGTTGGAGCTACATTTATTTTAGTTTGGTTCTCACAAAAAGTATCAAATGATGTGAACCCTGACTTGGAATAAAGAGAAGAAGGCTTATGTGTAAAGATGGAAAGTATTGTGTAGTAATATCAGATATTCATCAGTCCACAATTAAACTACCCATTAGAGCCTGACTCTGATTCAGAATTTTTAACATCAATACCAATTTTGATATTTGAGGATTTAAAGTTCTGAATATTCTTTTCATAAAACACAACAAAGATTTTTCATAACATTTGTTATGTGTAGTTACTCATGTCTTCACCCAGATACCTCACTCTAAATGTAGCCTAGTTTTTGCTGAGTATAATTGAGTTGTACCCAACTGTTGTAAGTACTAGTTGCATTCTCAGCCCTCCTCATGGACAACGGTAGCTGTTACTGAACCATTAAAAAAATAAAGAATGGTAAAGTAGCTTCATATTGCAGGGTTTTTATGCAAATATGATTCAGCATAATTTTATTTATTGTGAAGTTGAAGATGAACAGTAACAACAAAAAGAGCAACAAATGATGACAGGCAGTTTTTTTTAATTTAGTTTTACTGAAATACTGCTTGTATTTTCAGACAGTTTGCTAAAGTGTTTGAATGTGGATGTTTATAATAGAAGGAAACATTGTTGGTGACATGATATAGGCTCCTTTTGGAAATAATATTCATTGGGCAGTGTATTGTTACAAGCTGGGTTTGTCAGGCTGCAAACCTCAAAGGTTCATTTGACGTGACAAAGACCAAATGTTCTGATGCGAGATGAATTGATTTATTTGGGGGATTGAGGTAGGCGACTATTTAAGTATAAGCATAAACTTTATTGCCAAGTATTTCAAAAATACAAGGAGTTCGATTCCAGCTCAATGGCCCGCAATGTGCACAACATAAAAACAAAATAAATACACAATATATACACCTGGAAAAGTATTTACTCCTGTCTGGTCTCTTGTTCTTTTCTTTTCTTTTTTTAAAATTGAAACAAAGTAACACATTAGCCCAACAGGACAAGACAACAGATACATGACATTACAAAAAGATGTAGAGTGTTTAACAAGATCATAGTGTGTGAGGGTGTGAAGTGTGGGTATTTACAATTTATGCAGTTTATGAAGGGCAAGAAAGGGAGAAGGAGGGGGAAAAAAATCACAATAACAATGATAAGATACTACTAATAAAATCAGCTTGTTATGTCTTTAGAGGTTGGTGGGAATGTGCGTGGCCTCAGCCCCAGGTGTTTGGTTCAAGTTTAAATGTGTTAAAAATGGTTCCATGTGTTATAAGAAGCTGATAAACTATTCTTGTGAGTGGATGTCATCTTCTCTGTGATGTATTCTATCAGAAGGTTGGTCCAGTGGTTTATGTGTAGTGATTTTTTTGTTTTCCAGTTTTGAAAGACTGTTTTCTTGGCAATAGCTGGAGAAATGAGGAATGGGTTTTTAAATTTAATTGGTAGGTGGTCGATTTCTGTTCACATTACCGAGTAAGCAAAGTGATGGAGAAAGAGAAATTCTACAGCCCAAGATGGTGGAGAGTTTCTCAGTCACTGCTATCCAGAGGGAATAAACTGGTTGGCAGGTCCAAGTAGCATGAAAATAACTGTCAGTGCAACCTAGAATGCATTGTGAGCAGATGTCTGTGTCAGTGAAACCCATTTTGAACATTTTACTTTGTGTAATATGGGTCCTGTAGATGGTCTTGTCTTGTATAAGTTGTAAGTTTACATTGCTGGACATAGAAAAGATGTTATTGCAAATTTGTGTCCAGAAGTCGGAGCTGAGGGAGAGAGTTAATGGGTTTTTAAATTTAATTGGTAGGTGGTCGATTTCTGTTCACATTACCGAGTAAGCAAAGTGATGGAGAAAGAGAAATTCTACAGCCCAAGATGGTGGAGAGTTTCTCAGTCACTGCTATCCAGAGGGAATAAACTGGTTGGCAGGTCCAAGTAGCATGAAAATAACTGTCAGTGCAACCTAGAATGCATTGTGAGCAGATGTCTGTGTCAGTGAAACCCATTTTGAACATTTTACTTTGTGTAATATGGGTCCTGTAGATGGTCTTGTCTTGTATAAGTTGTAAGTTTACATTGCTGGACATAGAAAAGATGTTATTGCAAATTTGTGTCCAGAAGTCGGAGCTGAGGGAGAGAGTTAAATCATTTTCCCATTTGAGTTTTGGTATTGTTATTGTTGAATCTGTACTTGATATGAGTTTATATAGCTTGGATATTATTTTTTTGGAGGATGTAATTTTCATAATCACTTCAGTTAATTTGGAGGGTTGTAGTGGATTATTTTTTACACTAATCTTTGACTTAATTATGGATTTTAGTTAATTGTACTGGAGGAACTGTTGTCTCTGAACTCCATACTTCTGGATTAGTGTATTAAATGATATGAACTGGTTATTTTCAAATAGGTGACGTAAGTGTAAAATTCCTTTGTGTTGCAATGTTGGGAAATAGATAGGGTTATTATGCAATTGAAAATCAGGGTGATTTTCTTGTTTTTTTCCCCTTTCTTCTTTTCTGTGGCTGTGCTCTGGTGATGCTGTGGCTCTGGGGGCTGTTGTGTTGAACATGTTTTTGCACGCTTTGGTTGTCAGCTGTCATTAAAAGCGTTTCAGAAATCTTGTTATTGGACTTTGGAAATTAGTGTTAGTGAAACCCAACAGCATGTTCCCGACTTGTCCTTTTTGCTCAGAGAACCACACGGCAGAGCACACAGCAGAGAGCTACATGCTGCAGTGGCAGTGTGGTCACCTCAGTAACTATCAGTACCTCCTCCACCTGAACAACCTGGCCGACCGCAGCTGCAATGACCTCTCCCAGTATCCTGTCTTCCCCTGGGTCATCGCTGACTACACTGGCACAAAATTAGGTGGGTCAACAATCCTTAACAACTATTAACTCTGTACTGTCTGTTAGTTACATTTTAAAATGTAGCTCAGTAAAGAATGGAGCTGAAAGGATATGAGTCTCTCGCTCTCCCAGATCTGACAAATCCTGCCACGTTCAGAGACCTAAGCAAACCTGTGGGAGCTCTGAACAAAGAGAGACTGGACAGACTACTGGTGAGACTATGCTTCACTTGTTATGTAGTGCTTACTGTTGTTTGCTTGTTTCTGGACTGCATGTCTCCTCAGTAAGTACAGAATTTTCCTCTTGTTTACAGGCTCGTTACAGAGCCATGCCTGAACCTCGCTTCATGTATGGCAGTCACTACTCTTCTCCAGGCTACGTTCTTTTTTACCTGGTCAGAGTTGGTATGTCACACACTTGAGCACCAATATACATCATGTTTGGAGCCACAGTACACAGTGGATTTGTGCACGTTTGTTTTTTTCCACTGCCTAATTGTAGTTACATACTGTGATAATGATTTTACTATTACGCAAGAAGTGGATAGGCCATGTCTACCATTCGAATTTTAAAGCAAAATCGTGGGGGACAGCAGTTGTTATAAGCAAATCTATTCCCTTTACATTAACAAGTGTTCAGGCTGATCCAAATGGGCGGTATATAATTGTGACAGGGAAAATTTTTACTGCACCAGTGATTTTGGCAAACATCTATGCTCCAAACTATGATGATGATAAATTTATTAGCTCTTTTCTGAACCGGTTACCTAACCTTCATACACATAACTTAATTTTAGCAGGTGATTTTAATTTTGTTTTAGACCCCGTGAAAAACAGGTCTTCTTATAGAACTTAGACCTTGGGTAAATCGGTCAAGATCCTACAGCAGTTTCTAGACTCAACTAGCACAATAGATATATGGCAACATATGAACCCAACCCAAAGGAAGTATTCATTTTTCTCACGACCTCACAATTCTTTTTCCAGAATAGATTACTTTTTTGTGGATTCTAAATTGGCCCCTTCAGTTAAATATATTGACTACGAAGCTATAGTGCTGTCCAATCACGCCCCGGTAAAGATGCAGTTGAACTTCTCAAATAAATACCATGGCAAACCCTGGCGTATGGATAACAGTCTACTAATGCATAAAGTTCATGTTGCAGCAATTAGGTCCCAAATAAAGGTATATCTGGAATTTAACAATACATCAGATGTCTCTAAGGGCACAGTGTGGGAAGCTTTAAAGGCATACGTACGTGGCCAGATTATTGCATATAGTTCAAACCTGAGTAAGACCCGTGGGGAGGCTAAGCGCAAATTAGCTGAACGAATTTCATATCTGGACCAACGATATGCTAGTTCCCCCTCTCCTGATTTACTAACCGAAAAGATTTCTCTGCAAACCGAATTTAATCTTCTCTCCACAACAGAAACAGTGAAGCTTATTAATTTATCAAGATATAGATATTATGAACAAGGGGATAAAATTGGCAAATATCTAGCTCACCAGCTACGAGTAAAAGAAGCGTCCAGCCAAATTGCCGAAATACGCACAAAGTTAGGAACCATAACAAGGGATCAATCTAAAATCAACCAGGAATTTAAACAGTTTTATATCAACTTGTATACTTCCGAATCGCTCGGCCAGCGGGACTTGTTGGAGGGCTATTTCGAAGGATTGGACATTCCCACCATTAATGAAGAATATAAAGTTTCTCTAGAAACACCTATCACTTTGCAAGAAGTATCGCAAGCAATTCATAGTTTGCAAAGCTCAAAGGCTCCGGGCCCCGATGGGTATACATCGGAGTTTTATAAAACATACGTCTCTGAGATTGCCCCTCTTCTGTTAGAAGTCTTTAATGAATCGTTACAATTGGGCACCCTCCCAGCTACGTTCTATCAGGCTTCTATCTCACTGCTACATAAAGAAGGCAAGGATAAACTTGAACCAGCTTCATACAGACCAATAAGTCTCCTGAATGTTGATGCAAAAATTCTAGCTAAAGTGTTGTCTACACGCTTGGAAAACGTGCTTCCATCTATAATTCATGAGGATCAAACTGGCTTTATTAAGAATAGACAAATGACGCACAACATTCGTAGATTATTTAATGTCATTTATTCTCCCAGTCCGAAGTTATGTGATGAAATAGTGATATCATTAGATGCCGAAAAGGCTTTTGATAGGGTAGAGTGGGACTACTTATTCTTTACCTTATCAAAGTACGGTTTTGGCCCCACCTTTATATCGTGGATTAGGCTTCTTTATGTGTCACCAGAGGCTTCGGTGCGGACAAACGGGTTTAGATCGGATTA